GTAGGAGAATTATATTGTTTAGACATTCTTATTAGAAAAAGATTCAAAGAACGAATCTAAAGTAAAAGGGATTGTAAACTGTGTTGAATATTTGAGATAACCTTTATGTGGTATTTCTGTATTTTTTCTAAAAATAGGTCATTTTCTTTTTGTTCTGAAGTAAAAAAATGAAAGTTCTTTATTTCTTTACTTTTCTTCAGGAGGTAAACCAACTTTTCAGGAGTTCAGTGTGCAACTTTGATGTTGTAAAAAGAAATTCTTTTGAAATTAGAGCTTTCATAATAACCATACGTCTTAAAATCAAGTATTTACATTTTCAATAAAAGTACACTATAGATCATAAGCTTTTTATTTATTGATTCCTAGATTTTTATCTGCTGCTATGAATCTATGTTCCCCAAAAGCATGGTGAGGATTCTCAGTCTTACTATTGATATTTGCATAGTTACTACCATACCTATTGTGTTTGAAGTATGTCTTTTGGGCACTATTAAACCTGTCAGTTTTCTTAGCGGAAAACTGAGTTTTTGGCCCAAGAATTTACATGGTTGATAAAGAGAGACAGTATAGATGTCTTGTACAAACAAAATGAGATGTAAGAGGAGATTATCTGGAGTTTAGGGGATGAAGTGTTATATCAGTTAAATGGTCACATCTTTTTCTAAAAGTTACTCAGAATATAGTTACAAATATGATACTTAAATATCTAGCTCAAATTTGTTCCATGATCCTCCCAGATAATCTGAGCAATTTTATATGAGTTTGTAGCAAAATTGGTAGTTATCTCTTCAGTCTTAATTTGTACAATTTATTGTTTCTCTTACCAAATGAATAAGAAGTACTAAAATATTTTAAGAAGATTGCTCAGTGGGGTTTGATACAGGGAGAACTGCCCAGTAGCTGGGCAGCATTCAGAGTGCCTGTTCTCTCTCTGAGCTATGTAAGAAGGGCCTCGGGAGCTCCTCATTGGGTCTATTATGAGTCGGGCCATGACCATGCAGTGTGTGACTGAAGCTGCCTCACCATAGCAGAGGGTCAGGATCCCCTGCTTTGCAGGAGTACTGGGCAAGACAGCAGTCCTCCAAAGTAGCTACAGTTTGTTTTCTGTGTGGAATAAATGGTGCCTACTTAGGGCTGTCTAACGGCTCTATAAAGTGCTTCATGCTTTTAGTCCTCAGGTGGTTTAGAGGGAAGGAAAAGAGATTATGATTTTCTTTCCCAGTGAGTATCTTTTTAGTGCTTAGAAATTGTTTGCAAAGCAACAAAAATCCTTCATAATTTCATACTTAATACCTAAAGTGCTGATTTTTTCCAATTATTCTTTTCTGTTACCCTTATTTTCTGAGTTGTAATATTGTCTGGTTAAAAAAATTAAGCTTAATAACAGAAATATGCTACATATTTTGATTTTTACATAAATATAATATGTAATTTGTGTCTTATTTTGCCCGTGTTTTCAGTTACTACTTATACATGTGTGATAAAGTGGTTGCCCCAAATGTGTCACTTAGTTCTGCTGGATCCCAGTCTAAAGAGATCACAAAGACAGAAGCAAGTAAGTCCATATCGAGACAGTCAGAGAAGCCTCACAGTAGCAGTAAACATCACAAAACAGTGTCTTATCCAGATGTCTCACTTGAAGAACAGGAGAAAATGGACTTAAAAACGAGTAGAGAATTATGTAGCCATTTAGGTAAGTATTCAGAAATTATCTTTTTAAAATTAAATATGTAATGAACACATTTATTCAGCATTTTCAAAGTAGATTTCTATCTAAGCTAATTTTCCAGATAATTGAAGCTTTTACCTTAAAAAATGCTACCTTTCACATTTCTTTGAACCTCAATTGCTGTACTTTTCTGGCATGGTGACAGCTATAGAGGCTAATGAGATAGATCTATAGAGGCTACCTGGCTTCACACTGCAAATAATTTTTGTCTGATTTTTTTTGTCTTTCTTACCTTTTCTTTGCTGTCAGATTTCTTCAGTTGGTCTTTATTTTTCTTTCTAATTTGCTGTGAACTGAGAAACCATTTAACTAACACTAAGAAATGTATGTAAGTTAGGTATAGAACTCAGGGAAACTTAGTCATGGAATAAAACAAGGATTAAAAGCTCTGGGAGCCAGGCAGATGGCATAAATGTAAAATACTGGCTGGTCATCTGAAAGAAAAAGTATCGCTTTTCTGCCCACTTACCATGCTTTTTAAAATACTGTGGATCGAATAAGACCTGTCTGCTTAAATGCTGCCTGTGTTACCCTCTGCATATCAGCACAGCTTTGCCTAGTGCTTAGGCAGTGTGACAGTTATTTTAACTGCCTTGGAACAGTTGGAGAATCCTCTAGTTATTTAACCTTTTATAGAGAATTGAGACTCTTGAGGGTTTTCTTTAATTTTGAGATGTTTTGTTTTTTGTTGTTTCGTTTTCAGAGATAGGGTCTCTCTGTGTCACCCAGGCTGGAGTGCAATGGTGTGATCACAGCTCACTGCAGCCTCCAACTCCTGGGCTCAAGTAATCCTCCTGCGTCAGCCTCCCAAGTAGTTGGGACTACATGTGTATGCCACCAAGCCCGGCTGGTATTTTAATTTTTTTGTAGTAACAGGTTTTCACTGTGTTGCCCAGGTTGGTCTCAAGCAATCTTCCCTCCTCAGCCTCCCCAAAGTGTTGGGATTATAGGCTTGAGTCACCTAATTAGGGCATTCAACCCTAATTTTGAGATTTTTAAAACTCACTTTTCTCTGGATTTAAATATGGTAAACAAAAATTAGTAACGTACCATTATGCCATATTTGTATTGTGTTTTATTTCCCAAATTAATTAATTTTAGTGACTTTTTTAGTTTATCAT